CATTACAAAAGGTATAAAAACAAATTAAATCATCTAATTAGAAATGCTAAGAAAACTTATTATGATAACAAATTTGATCTAGCAAAAAGTGACTTGAAGGAAACTTGGAAATTAATAAACGAGGTTATAAATACTAAAAGCAAGAAGTCATCTTTACCATCGTCATTTAAATCAAATGGTACAGTGATCACTGACCCTCTTGAAATTGCAAATGGATTTTGTAAATATTTTACAAACTTTGGCTCATCCTTGGCAAGCAGGATTCTCCCAACAAATTGTGTATTTCGAGATTTCCTTGGACCAAATATAAGTGATACAATATTCCTTAAACCTACTACTGAACATGAGCTAAAAATTATCTCTATGTCATTTAAAGGCGGAAAAGCACCTGGTTATGATCATATACCTATGCATCTTGTAAAAAGTTCGTTTGATATTATTTCAAAACCATTAATGTGTGTAATTAATATATCCCTTGAAAAAGGGATATTTCCAAATAACCTTAAAACGGCAAAAGTAATTCCTCTTTTTAAAGCTGGTGATGTAGATATATTTACGAACTATAGACCTATCTCGATCTTGTCAAGTTTCTCTAAAATTTATGAAAAGGTTATGTATCATCGTTTGCTTAATTTTATAGAAAGATTTGAAATTTTGTATTCTTTTCAGTTTGGTTTTCGTACCAAACATTCAACTAATCATGCCCTCACACATTTAGTAAATAAAATAGCAACTGGAATCGATCAAAACAAAATTTCTATTGGTGTATTTCTAGACTTGTCGAAAGCGTTTGACACACTAAATCACGGTATACTTTTTTCAAAGCTCGAAAACTATGGCATACGCGGAGTCGCGCTAAATTGGATCAAAAGTTATTTTCACAACCGTAAACAATTTGTTCAGTACAACAACGTTACTTCTAGTCAGTTAATTACCCATTGTGGTGTGCCTCAAGGTTCAATTTTGGGCCCTCTCCTTTTTATTTTATATATAAATGACCTTCCGAATGCCTCCCGTATAGTTGAACCTTTGTTATTTGCGGATGATACCAGCATCTGTTACTCTCACTCTGACCCTGTGGTACTAGCTGCAGTGTTAAACGAAGCGTTACAAAGCATTGGTTCTTGGATGAGAGCAAATAAACTCTCTGTTAATATTGACAAAACAGACTATGTTATTTTCCATTCCAGGCATAAGAAAGTCTCTCATGATATATCTCTCTCTTTCGATGACAAATGTATTACTCGTAAACCAAAGGTTAAATTTCTGGGGGGTTTTCTGGATGAGAATCTCACCTGGAAACCTCACATTAGTCATGTCTGTAAAAAGATTTCTAAGTCTATCGGCATAATTTATCGAGCTCGTTTTTACTTGTTAGCTAGTACTAAATTGTCATTGTACTACACGTTAATCTACCCATACCTTACCTATTGTAACACTGCTTGGTCCTCCACCTATGTTTCCAATTTAAGTCGCATATTTCTATTACAGAAACGAATTGTCAGAGTACTGACCAATTCTAATTACCGGGCGCATACTGCTCCACTATTTAGTAAATTAAAAATACTCAATATATATCAGCTTAATTCCTTCCATATTGGTAAATTTATGTTTTCTTACCACAATCAGCTATTACCACCTTCTTTTCTCAATCTGTTTATTACCAACAATGAAATCCATGATTACAACACCAGAAATGCGAGTTCATACCGAGCTCATGCATGTAGAACAAATGTAATGCAGTTTACCATCCTATTTCAAGGACCCAAATTGTGGAATTCTCTCCCAGAGTCCGTCAAAAGTGCACAGACTATCAATTGCTTCAGGAATAGAATTTTGAAATATTTGCTAGATGCCTAATTACGTTTTTCTTGACCTCTCCTAACTAATCATTTTTCTGATCTATATTTTCTGTTACTACTGCTCCAAGGAGACATCCTATTTACAAGCCCTATGGTTTCCAGATGCCTCCTTGCCTCCGATATCTATTTTATGGTGTATACATATTGACTATTTAAAATTAACTATATTATTATCATAAAATAACTTGTATATAACTGATATCTGTGGCAAATTAAATTATCTCTTATCTCTTAATAGAGCATGCATATTGGCATGCAATGTGGGTGAGAGGAATGGTGCAAACCCTGATGGACAGCTACACTGCCGATCATCAGTATCTGCTAAAACTTCTGCTACAGTAGTCTTCTGAAGATCGTCAGTATCTGCTACAAAGACATCATTCAAAGTTGACCAACTGCACTAGGTCAGAACACTTCCTATATATACTATTAATTATCTAAGTTATCTACTTTATATTGTAGGCATGGCGCCCCCCCAAAGTTCCAGTTTTGGGTCATTCATTTGTACGTCGACTTAAGTCAGACCTGCATGTTCAGCAAGACACATGAATGTCCCCTACATTTAAACCAGGGCGCTTATATAATGGGCGGTGAAATACGCTCAAATCACACTGATCGATGTGTGATGCGGGAAAAGACTGGCACGAGCGTGTTTTTTCGAAAAAAATTTGACAAGGAGTGCATTTTTAATGCTGATATATTTGAGCTGTTTTTTCCTCAATAATCAAACTTTTAAGAACCTTTTACATAGTTCCGACAAATTACTTACTAGTTTATCGTTTGAATATTTGTTTGGCATATGAAGTTGTATTACAGTAGAACCCCGCTAACTCGAATTCGCTTAACTCGAACTCCTCACCAACTCGAACTAAATCCAATTCCCCTTGGAATTGACACTGTTTTATATAATTTACTCCACTTAACTCGAACTCACTTAACTCAAACTCCTCGCTAACTCGAACAAATTTTGTTTTCTCTTGGTCAAATTTATCCTGTTAACTCGAACTTTGTTTTTGAGTCGTAGATCGGCAAACCTTAAAATGTCAGAACATAGCATTTTTACAACCGGAAACTTGGATTTTTATTCAAATAACAACAATTTAATCGGTGTATAAATGATTATAAATTTTAAAAGATTATACACATAGTGCAACGATTGCTATTGATCTAGTTTTTTTAGTTCCTTTTGTAAAATGTTTACATATTTTCCTGTCCAAAGAACTTTAGTTTGCATGGAACTTGCATGCCTTCTCCATCACCCAAGTTAACAGCTTTGCCTTTGATGATAACTGTGCATGAACTGAAGTATCCGCTCGCAGAAAGTAGAAGATTGTTTTAGCAAAGCGCCCACTTTTCCCTCTGTCGTGAAGAAGAACACACACAGCGTATTTATCGACAATATTTGTCGGCTTGATCTTTGCTTTTAAAACCTCGTCCACTCTCGGTGACCATTCATATTGGTAGGCATGGTATCCCTTGACGAAGGATTCAATTTCAAACGAGATCAGTGAAGCAATTGCTGTATCAGCTTCTTTTCGGTGGTGCTGTACTGGTCTTCAACAAATAAGCTGCAAATATTTGATACAACGAGTGTTACATTGAAATTCAAGAGCCCTTTCAGAGAGCATTTTAAGGTGACAACCGGAGAATGGGAAGGCATCAAATGACAGTGCTTTTGCTCTCTTTAATATGCGCCAAAATTAATCAAACAATGTCGGGCACAAACAAGCGAAAATTATCCACTAAAACATTAAGCACCAAGTATGAAGCACTCAAGAAGATCGAGCATGGCATTCCAAAAAAGGACGTCGCTGCTGAGTATAATGTACCTCGCAATACTTTATCCACATGGTTGAAAAATGAAGAAAAAATTGTAAATGCTTTTGAGAGTGGAAACAATCGTTCTACGCACAAGTTAAAATCGAGTAACTATGAAAATCTGGATAAGGCTGTTTACAAATGGTTTGTAAAAGTAAGGGACGAGGGATTACCTGTGAACGATCCAATACTAAAAGAGAAAGCTATAAAGTATGCTGAAGAACTAGGCATAGAAAACTTCAAAGCATGAAATGGCTGGTTTCAGCGATGGAAGGGTCGGCATGAAATATCTTTCAAAACTGTTTCAGGTGAAGCCAAGTCGTGTACTGAAAAAATGACCACGTCCTGGGAAGAATCGACTCTTCCAACTATTTTCTCAAACTATGAGCTTCGAGAAATATACAACGCAGATGAATTTGGCCTCTTTTACAAAGCACCTCCGGACACACCAAAGGTGGGAAGCATAGTAAAGCTCGATTAACAGGCCTAGCAGCTGGTAATGCAGTAGGCGAGAAATTACAATGTTTGTCATTGGGAAGTCGAAAAAAAACCTGGTGCTTCAAAGGAGTTAGAAACTTGCCAGGTAGATATCTGTCTCAAAAGAAAAGTTGGATGGACAGCGCATTTTTCGAGGAATGGGTCTGTGAACAAGATCGTAAGTTTGAATGCGAAGGCAGAAAAGTAGCGCTTATTGTAGATAACTGCCCTGCCCACCCTACCATATCTAACCTGAAGGCTATTAATTTGGTGTTCCTGCCACCGAATAGAACATGCAAGATGCAACCAATGGATCAAGGCATCATCAGATCAATAAAGGCGTTTTACTGTGGAACAACTGTCCGCAAGTACATCGACGCTGTGGAAAAGGGAATGTTACCTCCGAAATTCACCATTTTGGATGGTATGATGATCCTGACAGGCGCTTGGAATAGAGAAACTGTGGAGACAGTTTGGAATTGCTTCAAGAAAGCTGGCATTGGCAGTGAAGTGCAGCAAAGTGCTGTTTGTGATGCTGATGACCCATTCAGTTTTTTAAGCGAGGAGCTGGAGTCTTTGAGAGAAAGCTTCCCAGAGCTTGTGTCAACCTGTGTAACCCTATATGATGTAATCGGTACAGATAAAAACGTGTTAACCTTGAACATGGAATCCTTGACTGATGAAGAAATCCTAGCAGAGTTTCGTGACGATGAGATTGAAATGCTAGATGACGGCCCCTACGCAACCTGCTACAAGTGAAGGGAGACAGTCCATTGATACCCTGCTCACTTACAGTATGTTTGTGGATGAAGGAGAATAGGAGATTTGCCAAGTTACTGCTGAGTTATCTTTGCTAACAGAGGGAATCATTCAGAAAAATAAGAAGCAGAGGAACATTCAATAATTTTTCGCCAAACATGTATAGTACTGATCTATTTCATCGTTTATATAAAGCACGATTCTTTCTTTTTTGGCGAATATAATAAACGTGTGAACTGTAAGACACAATGATCAACGATCAAAGATATCTAAAGAACTTTAGTTAGGGATGCACAATTAAACTTTTTGTAATTTTGATGAACTGTATAATAAAAATTTTATACATTATTAATTATTAACATAATAAACAAAATCTGACACCAACTCCGGTTAACTCGAGCCCCCGCTAACTCGAACAATTTTTCGTTCCCCTTGGGAGTTCGAGTTAGTGGGGTTCTACTGTATTAAGAAAATATTTTGAAGAATGACTTGTTCTTTGGATGACTTCAATGGAGGGAAAATTTCAATATAAGATTTGATGATGTTATCAACTAGTCCCAGGTCTGGAATTCAGGTATGTCAAAGATTATATATAGCTAATTATATCTTAACGTTTTTATTAAAATCAGAATTGTACTCTGGAAGATATAGCGATCGAAAGTTGCATATTTTTACGGGTTAAATCGTGCCTCATTAGACCATGATTTCACTTGCCAGTAAGGAAACAAAAGTTGTAGTTTCATTATGTTATGATTCTTAGTCATTAAATAAAAAATTTTGCTTGTTTTAAAGCATTACGTTGGAGTATTGTAAGCTGTAAGCAAATTTTACGTATTAGTCAATTTGTCAAAGTATGTTGTCTTGGTTGAATGTATGCCGAGCGCAAGGGTTGATAAAATGTCGCCCCAGCCTTGAAACCTTGTGATCATCAAGTCAAGATAGGTATTCATTAGGATTCGTTGAGGAAACAAAAGTTCGAATTGTACTCTTCTTGATATTCACTTGCAAAATTCAGTTGCCTGCAACACATCAATGTAATTTTTATTCTATTGAACAAGAAGGATATGTGTACAAAATGGACAGATTTTGAAATATTTTAACGTCATGACGCTTGCGAAAGCAAGTAAACAATGGTTCAATACTTCTTGTATTTTTCCTTACTAAAAGTCTGTAGACGTTGAGTTAAACAAAAAATTATAAAATGTGTGATACTTATTGTAAGGGAAGAGTGGCTGAGCACTCAACTTGCCTCTCCTTCTAAGAGAATAAAAGTTGATGAACAAGTAACTACTTCGTCTGAACAAAACGTAACAAATACTTCTGCAGTTGCACCCAACAGAAACGAAAGATTGCAACTGTGTGCTGACTTGGAAAATGCATTCTTGAATGCTGTTCCAATGCTTATTCATTACTACAGGAAAATAATATTACAACCTGAGAAACTGCTTTACTCATTAGTGAATATTGCATTACCTCCTGGCACTAAATTAGGAATGTGTTCTGCATAAAAATATGCAGGTATCTCACTTGCTATTTACAAGGTATATGGTGTCTGTTTCCCCTGCACGAACATAAAAATGTATTTACACAGATCACGTGTATGGTAATGTATTTTCACAGGTCTTGGGAAAATTTAACGGAAAGCTTTGGTGGAAATTTTATTCTAATTTTTTTTATGATATATAAAATATTTATAAAATATTAAGTTTTAACATGATATTTACAAAATTAACTTTCTTCAGTTTTTTTTTAACTGTTAAATGTCCAAAAGTTTTGATGTTTTATTAAGATTGTTAGTATGTTGTCAGCTTGGTTGTGGTTGTGGTTGTGGCTGAGAAAATTTCAATGTTCCCAGTGTCAAAAGTTTGTTTCTTCCTCAATGAGCGTGAGCCTCGAACACATAATAATATTTTATTCTAATTACATTGAAAAAAGTGTTGTAAAACACCAACAAGACCTTCTAAATCTGCGACTTGATTCAGATGTTGATAACAACATTTTGCCAGTATGGAATGAAGGGTCCCCATCCTTCACATGTCCGGTGCACAGTTGTGTTGGCCGGCGCACAAAAATTTCCAAATTTTCTACTGGCGCACAAAAATAATATACTTTTATTGTATATAAAGTAATAAGACATAAACTGATACTCATAAGACATAAACCAATGTGGCCATTCGAGGAAACTCTTTCCGGATCTCGTGAAATGTTTACTTGTTGCTGTAAATGAGAAAACAAAAGAAGAGCTTTCCCAGTACCAGTGGTGCCATGGGACCCATATTTTTGGGGGGGCCAAGGGCAGTAGTTTTCCGACAAACCGGAAAATAGTTTCTAACTGTAAACTTTTTTATAACTGAAATTTTTTTTGGGCGACCTCATTACATCTTAAAATTTTTCGTTACATCTTAAAATTTTCCTGGACATCACCAATGTTCTCCATTTATCCAAAATTTTCCAAATATACCAACGTCGGAAAATTTGACAATTTCTGACAACGTTGACAATTTTCCAAAAATTTCCGACAACATTCACAATTTTCTGACAGGTCTCCACAATAGGGGGCCATGGCTCCCCCCTGGTCCCCCCGGCCACGGCGCCACTGCCCAGTACAGGTTTGCCACCTCATTATTGCATGACAGTGGACAAAGCAACAGTTAACAAAAGATCAAAGCAAGCTGTTTTGATCTACCCCCATGCTTTCTGGTTGATGAGTGGCAATTGCTGTTGCAGCTTCTGAAGATTTCCGTGTGCAAGGAAGATGGCAGTGTTTCCTTCATTGTTCTTATTTAGGACTTTGTAACTGATTTGCACCTTATATATGCTTGACTTATTTGAGCCTGTTGCGTCCATAATGATCGAACTTCAAAGCTTCTCTGTTCCAGCGTGGAAGTGCTATCGATGGATAAGACAGCTAGTCAGCCAGTCAAGTTGCGCATCCAATGATTGCTATGAAGTTGGAAACCTGGATTTTTCCCAAAGATGAAGGCAAACGCCAAGGTAGTGTGAGATTGTGAGGTGCATCTGCTCATAAATGTTGAAAATTTAAAACGTATAAAGATTTTCTATTTTTTATCTAGGACATCCTAGATAAAGACCCAGAAATCGAAGATGAATTGCTAAGACCATTGTTCCAAAACATTGAGCTTTGTGTTGGATGGAAAGTAACAGGGCAAGAGGTTACCACGACGCCAATGGAAAAAATTCCAAGAAAGCAATCCTTGTTAACTGGGAGGAGCACACAATAGAAGACTCCTTCACTGATCATGATGTGAGGAGCTTTGCAACCAATCTTGCTACTTCGTTGGAGGCAAGACTGGCGAAGTGTGTCTCATGCTGCGCAATTGGCAACATTTTTTATGTAGAAGAAACAGCAAAACTAGTGTGCGGAGAAAGGGTCGGTTGCGGCTGAGTACAAATTGATGAGGGACAAATTCAGAATCTTCAAAGAAGTATGTGAACTCAAACATATAAAGGAAGCTGAAGACAACCGCTTTGACCATCGAATGTCATCAAGTGTACACCGCGAATGGAAGAAGGGCATTCGACATCTGATATGCCTCCTATGGGATAAAGAAATGAAAGCAACGCTCTTCTCCTGCCTTGCTGCTGTTGAAAAGAATACCTTACTACTTCCTTGGCTGTTGATTTTGATACAATGTTGGTGAAAATGCAACCTAAGCAACAACCACTGCACAAGATAGCCATCTGCCAACTGTTTCAATTCACATATGTAAACCACAAGCCTTTTGAGTCGTACATAGTGGAAGATGAAATCTTTCGTGCTTTATACACAAACAAAGTTCTATATGCTATAATTGGACCAGTTGCTTGTATGACTTTCGATGTTGCAATGGCTATGGAAGGATGTAAAGCCGTGGTCGAGAGTTTTTATAGTGTAATGGATACACAAAGGCAAGTTGGCCAAGATCATGCCATGTTAGAAGACAGAACCCTTGTTGATTGGGCCATGTCCAATGTCTTGAAATCAACAGATGTGGTCTATCATGCATCTCGACTATACATTGATGGCGACAAAGGCTTTGGACTCTCACGTCACAGAGTTGGCTACTTGAACATCGCTTATTCAGACTCCTACATGGCAAGTTAAGTGCTATCTCGCCTTTGAAATGAAGATGGACGCTATCCTTTTTTGTGTCCTTTGTGTCCTGTTGATTGGCTTTACAGACCTATGTAGTGATAAAAGTGATACTCCAGATGGGAATACCACAATGTCTTCTGCACGACAAAGCCTAGCAACACATGTATTGCAGTTCTCCTTCAAAAGTATTTTTCAGTTCCCATGTGCATATTTCTTAACTAATGGAATTTCAGCTCATAACTTGAACAGAACATTTCTGATAGGGCTTCAGAAAACAGGGCATTTATGGCAATGAATGGTTGTACTGACACTGAAAGCCAAACTATCAATCCGTTTTCAAAGTTTCCTTTGTTTTTTATGTCTGATCCACCCCACCTAATAAAAAATGCTCAGGAACAACATTTATAACAGTGGCTACAAAGAATACTCTTCAAGGTACACCAGGTGCTTATTACTGAATTTGAAGAATATTTTGTGGGAACATATATATTCAGTTCATACACACGACAAATGAAGACATGTATTTTCAACAGACAATAGTCCCATGTTCATCTTGACAGTCTGAGCAAAATGTGTGTCAAGTTGGCCATTCAAGTACTACAAAGGTGCAAAAGGACATGGCTAAGTATGAAAACGAAGAAACAGAATCTACTCAGAAATTTATTTCAAACTGTGATGCATTGTGGAATGTCTTCAATGACACTAAACCATTGATGTCACTAGAAGATACCTGCATTGAACATACCTACCAAGTCTCACGCATTATGCGTGTGACACACGCCTCCGCATATTTTCTCATGCTCACACACACAGTATAATTTATCTCACGCATGAGCCGATTTTGGCTGCTTGTGACTGCAGAGTTTAATAAAAAAAGGAAATCTGGAGAACGTTGTAAACTTTAAAAACCTGTGAAATAATTTAGCGTTTAGTTTTTGACTTTTTCTATTTTACATTATGAAATTAGTCAGTAAATTAATCTGGTGAATCGAGTGGGTAGGTGTTTATTATCAGTGCGAATTTGCTGTCAACACCTCATTTGATGCCATAAACTGAGCTATTTGCTGTGTGTAAATGCTATCTGATTGCAGCATCCAAGGTGTGGCTATTACGCAGCAATTAGTGCTATTAAAATAATGACCGATGTAATGTAAAAATTAGAACATAGTACAAATATATAAAAGCGTGCAAGATACACAATCAAACTATATTAAAGGAAGAAATGGTTTATAAAGTTTCCCTGTATATCATCATCTCTACATGGCTGACACATACGATTCGCTATCTGGTTCAGATGATTTTTACTGCACAATCTGCAAGCGCAATGTAAAATGTGGTCATATGGGGCTTTCAGATGTACATCGACATATTACAACATCAATGCACCAACGATATGCAAAAGACGCAAGATCACAGACAACTCTTTCTTTTCCATCTTCATCAAGCCCTGTATTTGAAAAGGTAAATAATAAACTATGTACATGTACCTTGCTTTTAATGATAATTGTACAGCATAGGAATGACTTATAGTACTTTACTTAAAACGGCAAAAAAAGCGTGTATTATCAATGGTGCTGTTGCTCCTTTTTTGTAGCAGAATCTTGTCAATCATATAAAGAAGAATCCTTTCTCTATCGCAATTGACGGCTCCAGTGATTCTGATGTTGAGAAGATGAATCCTCTGACCGTTAGTACTCAGTTCCTTGATATGTGTATGTCTTCATTATCCACAGCAGAAGAAATATTTTCAAAAATGCAGGATGCTTTCACAACACATGGAATTCCATGGAATAACTGTGTCACATTGTGCACAATACAGCTTTAAAAGCAGCCAACGCTTTTGAAGAGTAAGTGTGCATATGCTCTTTTTTGAAACTGCTTGTAGGAGGAAATACTCTTATTGCGCTGATATTTAGTATATGTTTTAACAAGCAAATTTTTATTATTTTTTGCAGACATCTAGATTTAATGTTGAAGATATGGTTATCGATATCTACTACTGGTTTGACAAGAGCACAAAGTGAAAAGCTTCTCTGAAAGAATTCTACTCTTTTTGTGATATAGACTATAGAAAAATAGTAAAACATATAAACACCAGGTGGCTGAGTCTAGAGCGAGCTGTTTCTTAGGTGCTGAAGAGTTACTTCTTATCCAATGGTGTGATATTGTCCACTTAATTGCTGTTGTTATAGATTGTCCGTGTATATATACATATAGTTTGACGAACTATGTATGTGTTATCTATTGTTGTAGATGGAAATGAACCAAGGTTCAGGAGATTGCATTCCATATTTGAAGATCCCATGACGGAAGTTTATCTTCTCTTTTATCAGTCAGCCCTTCAACCATTTATCCACTTCAACATGTTTTTACAAAGAGAAGACCCTATAATTCCGGTTGTTCATAAGCAAACAACGTTGTTTTTGCAGAAGCTTGCTAGTAAATTTCTGACTGTTGCAGCTATTAAGCAGGCAAATGGAGACTTTAGTTTTCTTAACTTTAAGGAAGCAAACTTTCAGCATCCAGGTATAAACTATACACAGAGTCAGAGCGTTTGGTATTGACCACCACAGAACTAGTTATGTGCACAGCATTTTTAAAAGCTATTTCTCAATCTCATGCTTTTTCGTTTAAATCCTTCTATAAAATTTGATATATTAATTTATTGTAGAACGTGCATGTACTGTACAGAGGTGCCGATTCAAACACACTACTGAAAAGCTGTAGTCTTAATAATTAATATATAGGCATTTTTATTACTATTAGTTTCGTACCATAAGATGTGGCACTCATCAGATAAATTAACTTTATTAGGTTAAGTAAAGGACTTTGGCACCCAAAATTTTTATTGCCTATATCTATTAAGCTTCCCTACGGAATACTTAATTTCGTTTTTCTATCGCACTTAGTTGTAGAGAAAATTAGTTACAAACTTGAAGATTAGCTGCCATTTTGAAAATAACTGCGTATGCTAATTTATGCATGAATACATTTGGTGACGTCATTGGCTGGGTAAAGCTAAACTTGACAATATAATTACCTCCGCCAGGAGGTTATGTAATCATCTGGGTTTGTATGTGTGTGTGTGTGTGTGTATGTGTGTGTGTGTTTGTCTGTGAGCACGATAACTCAAGAAATACCAAACATATCCGTACGAAATTTTGTGAATGCATTTCCCATCGGCTAAGGAAGAACTGATTAAAATTTGGTTGAATTTCGTTAAAAATTGAACGAGAAATGAACAAAATTTTGTCTGGCTTTTCCCGGTCAATTAACAAAATATATTACTGAATGCGTAATTAGGACGTGTATAATTTATGCACTCAGTGCTAAGACAGTAATGAGATGATAAACCTCATTAAGCTTCGGCTTTCATTATCTATTGTCTTAGTTGCATTTCACGCGACCGAAATTCAATGTCTAAAACAAGGCTTACGGAGTTACGCATTATTACGTTCAGCAAAGTGCCAGCCATTCAAATTCTAACAACATTACATTACTTCAATACAGGGTGTATAAAAAGAACGCAACCTCGGAATTTCGCAAGAAATCGACATTGTTTTAAAGACAAAAGATTTTAGCTGCCTGGGAATTTAAAATAGCACAACTGTGAAAATTACTGCACGCGCGAGTGCATAAAGCAAAATTTGTGCATTTATTTAATGACACTTAAAAAGTTTTTATTTTACAAGTGCTGTACAGTACAACAACAGTAATATGTTCTATTAGCAATTCGATTTCAATTCGCGGGGGCCTGAAATCTTTTATGCTTAAGAATTATAAAGTGGATTTCTTAGGAAATTCCAAGGTTGCGTTTCACTTCCGAGTAACGGGCGGAGGTATGCAGTCTCTGAGTGCCCTCTAGTTTTACCTGTATCGGTTTAAATTCGCCGTTAAGTTGCAAATAATTCTGTTTGAGAACGCAATAATTGGGCATTTCGCAACCAGGGCAGTTTCAGGGCAGTTTTGGCCTTGTTGTTGGGAAATCAACTAGGCCTTCTAGGCTTGCTTCCTCCGCCCCGCCCCCAAATCACCTAGTCCCAGTCTTTTCATGTGAAAAAGCGCTGAATATTAAAAAAATATAAGTAAGACTATAGAAGGCCTAGGTCTAGGCTGGATTTCCATATCTTTCTTTGAAAGTAGTCCCCGTCATTCCTATATACTCTTTTATGACACCATCGTCGGATGATGTAACTTGGGCCTTCTAAATAATGTTTTTAGATGTGCAGTTCTTCTTAATAGGGCAATCACTCGGGTTATTACAGTTGCAATTATCTCGGATGTTGGTGGAGTAGTTGTGGATTTTGTCAAGATGTGATTGTTGTGCCGAGATATAACGCTCTTTAGATTAGGCATGCAGCTATAGCTAACTTTAACTGTGTTACGGTTGAATATTTTGTGCAAAGGACTTGTAGGTGGGAAGTGTTTATTGAGAAGCTGCAGGAAATTCCGCGCGATGTTGGTTTTAACGGATTTGCTGAACGGGGGTTTGAACCAGATAATGTTTCTTTGGCGCCTTCGTTTCTTATATGGTGGAGAAGAAGGGCTGTTGGTTAAATATTCCAAAGAAACATTGTAATTGCTGTGTTTAAGTGCTATCCGTAGAATGGTTTGCATTTATCGAAGGATTCTTGGTCAGATGAAAGGGAAGAGATAACCTTTCAACGAAAGCGCACTTAAACACAGCAATTACAATGTTTCTTTGGAATATTCAACCAACAGCCCTTCTTCTCCACCATCTAAGAAACGAAGGCGCCAAAGAAACATTATCTGGTTCAACTCCCCGTTCAGCAAATCCGTTAAAACCAACATCGCGCGGAATTTTCTGCAGCTTCTCGATAAACACTTCCCACCTACCTATACAAGTCCTTTGCACATAATATTCAACCGTAACACATTTAAAGTTAGCTATAGCTGCATGTCTAATGTAAAGAGCGTCATATCTCGGCACAACAATCACATCTTGTCAAAATCCACAACTGCTCCACCAACATCAGATAATTGCAACTGTAATAACCCGAGTGAATGCCCTATTAAGAAGAACTGCGCATCTAAAAACATTATTTACAAGGTCCAAGTTACATCATCCGACGATGGTGTCATGAGAGAGTATATTATAGGAATGACGACGACTACTTTCAAAGAAAGATATGGAAATCATAAGAAATCCTTCAAACTTCAAATATATAAAAACGATACAGAGCTGTCAAAGTACATCTGTGGACTAAAGAGTAATAATAGAGATTACACCCTAAAATGGTCAATTCTGAAGCAGGCAGGCGCATACTCATCTGGTGCAAAGCGTTGCAATCTCTGCGTAGAAAATCAGTGGACGGTTCCGGCAATTCTAAAATCGAGAAAATTCTGAAAGTTGAAAGTTAAATTTGCAGCAAATCTATATTTCGACTCACATATTTCTTATCGATAACACAAAATTCCATATCCTTTTCGATGTCATAAATTATTTTTGAAAAATGTCTAAAAGCTCTACCTTATTTCTCATAAAAGGGTACCTTTTTTTTAGATTTGTGTGATAAGGGAATTGGTTCGTTTTAATTACCCTTTTACGTCGATCCAAGTTTCAACTTAAAAGCGAAAAAGCGGATTATCTAACGAATTTATACAAATCAAATCTCCATAAAAATAACTGAAAAGGGTACGATTATCGCTCAACTGCATCGTTTGTAAAATGACGAAAAAGGGTACCCTTTTCGGTCAACCATGTTGTTTTGCAGTAAGACGAAATAGAGTACCCTTTTCGGTCAACTATGTTCTTTAGATAGTAATATGAAAAAGGGTACCCTTTTCTGTAAATATGATCTTTTATAATAAGACGAAAAAGGGTACCCTTTTTTATTTAATCTGTTGATACTCAATCGGATTAAAACTGGTCTGGAATTTTATCAACTGCGCTAACGCGTTAACACACGTTAAAGCATAGCGTTTAATTTAAGTGTATACCAATTCAAAAAGCAACATAATTTATTCACTTATTGTTAAATCAAAATGGCGGAGTACTTGGAGCAAAATATCGAAGATGTGAAAAACTATGTTCAAAAGAATTGCACTTATCGACAGATTAGCGACATTTTCAAGCAGCATTTTCCTGGGGTTAGTCGGGGTTTCTCGGAGAGAAACATTCGGTTATTCTGTTCAAAGCGTGGAATAAGGAAACTGAACAATTTTGAAGTGGACACCATTATTAAAAAGTCTATCAGTGAGTGCTGTAACTGATTATTTTGAATAGATATGTATACGTTTAGCGTTGGTAATATTGTGAAGGCAAAAGAGTAATATTCATAATTAATTGAAATTGAGAAATAGTATATCGAGCTAACGCAACTAGTTATAATAATTATATTATATATTATATTATATCATATAATTATATTATATTATATTAAATTATCTTATATTATATTATTATATTATATTAGATGATATCAGTCTCTATTATGACTATTGTCATGGTTGCTCTGTGTTCATTTGCGAAACCCCATTTCATTGATTTTTAGCTCGATATACTATTTCTCAATTTCAATTAATTATGAATATTAAACTCTTTTGCCTTCACAATATTACCAACGCTAAACGTATACATATCTATATTCAAAATAATCAGTTACAGCACTCACTGATAGACTGTTTAATAATGGTGTCCACTTCAAAATTGTTCAGTTTCCTTATTCCACGCTTTGAACAGAATAACCGAATGTTTCTCTCCGAGAAACCCCGACTAACCCCAGGAAAATGCTGCTTGAAAATGTCGCTAATCTGTCGATAAGTGCAGTTCTTTTGAACATAGTTTTTCACATCTTCGATATTTTGCTCCAAGTACTGCGCCATTTTAATTTAACAATAAGCGAATAAATTATGTTGCTTTTTGAATTGGTATACACTTAAATTAAACGCTATACTTTAACGTGTGTTAACGCGTTAGCGCAGTTGATAAAATTCCAGACCATTTTTAATGCGATTGAGTATCAACAGATTAAATAAAAAAGGGTACACTTTTTCGTCTTATTATGAAAGATCATATTTTACAGAAAAGGGTACCCTTTTTCATATTACTATCTAAAGAACATAGTTGACCGAAAAGGGTACTCTATTTCGTCTTACTACAAAACAACATGGTTGACCGAAAAGGGTACCTTTTTTCGTCATTTTACAAAACGATGCAGTTGAGCGATAATCGTACCCTTTTCAGTTATTTTTATGGAGATTTGATTTGTATAAATTCGTTAGATAATCCGCTTTTTCGCTTTTAAGTTGAAACTTGGATCGACGTAAAAGGGTAATTAAAACAAACCAATTCCCCTATCACACAAATCTCAAAAAAGGGTACCCTTTTAGACATTTTTCAAAAATAATTTATGACATCGAAAAGGATATGGAATTTTGTGTTATCGATAAGAAATATGTGAGTCGAAAGATAGATTTGCTGCAAATTTAACTTTCAACTTTCAGAATTTTCTCGATTTTAGAATTGCCGGAACCGTCCACTGATTGTAGAAGAAAAACTCTGCATAATGGATGCAAACAAACATGTAACATTGAACAAAAGACCCGAGATATTCGCGAAATGCCGACATCGCGAGAAATTTTGGGTGGGAAATTTTGAACGCACGTACGAATAATGACGGTGCACGTTAGCAAACTATAGTCACGCCATTATCCCCGAGCCGGTGGCGGGAGGAGCCGTGCGAGGGTACTAATTCCGCACAGCTAATTATACCCGGGTATGTGAAAACATAGCGGAGTGCAAAGTTGTTTTCCATTTTGTTTATGTCATGGACGGCTTTCCACGTTATGCGCATGCGCAAGTACAAATTCTGTCGAAGTAATTGTTTTTCATTTTGGAAGGACGTATTTTGCTGTTTTACAGCAATTTTTTGTTTTAAAGTTCGTTAAAAAGTTTACAAAAGTACAACACGGTTTTTTTCTCGATTTTAAATATATATATAGCTTAAGATTTTGGTTTACGAAACACAAAACAATGCTCAATTAATACCATATAGATAGAGCGTAATATAGTTTTTCGTTTGACCTCAAAAAACCACAACAGTCTGTTTCATCCGTATAGGAATCATCACGTGGTGAGTAATTTCGAAATTGTAGGTTACTTTTATGCTATCGAAAGAATGTGCGGAATGCGTGTAGGCGAAACAATGCTTAGGCGAAACAATGCATGCTTGGGTCATTAGGTTTTGTTAACGACCTTGTTTACTCGAAACCGGCTTTTGTGACGACATTTGCCGAAAATTTCGCTTCTTTTATTGAGTAAATTGTCTTTGTTCATGTCATTCAAAATGCAAAATTTTTCTTCCAAACATAAATTGCAGCGTTTTGATCCCCTGTGTACGAAATAGCGTGTTTTAAAATTGACTATTTCATGGCATAATCCTGATTGTTTTCTTTTAATTTCCAAATATGTTTCGAAAGTTCCGTTTTGTTTGAGTCCTTTTTACGACGAAACGATGAATTGTGGTTAGCGTAACGTTCCTTAAATGTAGTCGCTGTCACACCAATGTAGTGTTTAGTGTCGTTCGTGTTGTTCGTTGTGACTGTGGCTTTGTAAATAATGTTGTTGGTCATACATTGTTTCGGTAGTGGGCAAGTGTTTTTGGTGTCGCAGTTACAGTTGTCAGTTTCCGTATTCTGTGATTGACTGTTCCTAATTATGTTGCGTTGCCTACTCCTACGTGCAGGGGAGGATCCAGACCGATGCCAACGATGCGAATGCATCGGTCAAAATTGAGAAATCATGTTGCTTGAAATAATATATAGACATATTATGCTGTCGTCAATACTTGGTCAAGCACTCAGTAATAGAATACTTTTGAATCTCTCCCAGCTATCAAACCGCAAATATTTGCTTAAACTTGACTCCAGGTCAGGAATACACTATTTAGGATGAAATCCAATTTAAATAGTCTCAATAACAGTCGAAATTGTCAAAATAAGTCCTATATGCGACGTGCGATCGCAAATGTGTACTTTTTGTTATTTACTTTTTATTTTGCGACACTTAAGCGTCAATAATTTCGCGACAAAATATGTTATTTTTACCGCATCCTTTGACGTCACAGTAGAAAGCTGATGCATCACCTACGTCACGATAGATTTGGTTTGCATCGATTTTCAGCCATTTTGCATCAGTGAATGCATCGGTCCCGAGTCCTTTTCTGCGTGAAATCTACTGTGACATCATCAAATCTATTGTTTTAGAGCCCAACGTCATGGTAGATTTGTCCGCTGAGCGATGCATCGCATGCAGATTGCGGGCGCTCGCCTCGGTTCACTGATGCAAATTGCAAAATCAAAATCTACTGTGACGTAACGAGGCATTCGATTCAAGTCATGGCGGCAAGGATATGCAAGCACTATATGGAAATGAGACAAATAATGGGAAGAAATATCTCTCGAAATTGACGGAGAAAACGGAGAACAAATTACCGAATTAACTACCAAGGCTTGGAATGAATCTAATCTTTCATCAGAGTACAAAAATTGAAGTATATTTATACTGTGAGATGTCCATTATGTGAAACTCGAACTGAGGGCTCGAAAGTAAGTGAAAGTTATCTATATAGTTTGCATTGTAGTTCATTGTTCAGTTCAAGAAGTGTATAAAGTGGAAAATGGGCTCCACAGTTAATGCAGATTTTGTTTGTATTAACATAATAGGCCTAATTAAAGTTTGAGTGTCTATTTAATACTGTTGCTTATACCAGCAGGGGGGGGG